CAAAGACCCAGAAGATGTTCCTTGCATGATGGCCATGTGGAGGAAGGTGGTTCAAAGTGCCCTTGTGTCATATTTTAACAACCTGGTAACAGTATATTACCCAAAGATGGATCCACCAACTGTAGAGGTGATGTCCTCCTGGCTTCGAAATATAGAAGAAACTCTGGGCACTTCCTCATTCCCACGGGCCAGCACCTCAGCTCTCAGGGGTAGCCCAAGAGATCGGTCCCCTCCTGCCCCAGTCAGAGGGAAAGGAAGCCCCAAGCGCAGGTCATGTGGTAAATTCTGGTTCTTTCTGTGTGACCAGGGGGAAGACATGAAGAAGTGGGATGGTGAACCCACCTCTAAGCTGGAAGCCCTGGTGAATTAAGAGGGAAGAGAACTGTTAAGAAGGGGTCACCCAGGAAAGCTGTCCATGTAGTTGGCACAGAGACCCAAGAAAGAAATCAGTGACCTCTCAGACATAAAAGGACTGAGACCAATTCCTTTGATCCTGGTGAGGGGACCTCTGGTCTGGCATCGCAAAGGTCAGACAGTGAATACTCTGACCAGGAACAGGAATAGAGGGTCCCTGCCTTCGGCCAGGAGGAGGAAAGGGATGACTGGGTCTACTGGACTGTGTGGATTCAATGGCCTGGCACATCGGATCCACAGAGGTATAGAGCTTTGGTAGATATGGGTGCACAGTGCACACTAATCCATCGAGGCACAGAAGTGCAGAACCCATCTGGATCTCTGGAGTGACAGGGAGATGCCAGGAATTATCAGTGTTGGAGGTTGAAGTGAGTTTTACAGGGGACAAGTGGGAAAATTACCCCATTGTGACTGGCCCAGAGGCCCCTGGTATACTCAGCATTGATTACCTCATGAGGGAATACTTCAAAGATCCCAAGGGGTATCAATGGGCTTTTGGTGTAGCTACTGTGGCTACAGAGAAGATCAAACAATTATCTACCCTGCCTGGCCTCTCAAAGGATCCTTCCATCGTGGGATTGCTGCAAGTAGAAGACCAACAAGTGCCCATTGCCACCAGAAGAGTGCACCGATGGCAGTATCGCACCAATTGGGACTCCATAATTCCCATCCATGAACTAATTCGTCAACTGGAGAAACAGAGAGTGATCAGCAGGACCCGCTCACCCTTTAACAGCCCCATATGGCCAGTGCAAAAGTCTAATGGGGAGTGGAGGCTGACAGTGGACTATCGTGGCCTGAATGAAGTCACGCCGCCTCTGAGTGCTGCTGTGCCAGACATGTTAGAACTTCAATATGAGCTGGAGTCAAAGGCAGCCAAGTGGTGCCACAACTGATATTGCCAATGCGTTTTTCTCCATTCCTCTGGCAAGAGAGTGCAGGTCACAGTTTGCCTTCACCTGGAGGGGTATTCAGTATACCTGGAATCGACTGCCCCAGGGGTGGAAGCATAGCTCAACCATCTGCCATGGACTGATCCAGACTGCACTGGAACTGGGGGTGCTCCAGAACACCTGCAATATATTGATGATATTATTGTATGGTGCACAACAGTAGAAGAAATTTTTGAGAAAGGAAGGGAAATAGTTCTAATTCTTCTCAAAGATGGTCTTGCCATAAAATAAAGCAAGGTAAAGGGATCTGCATGGGACATCCAGTTCTTGGGAATACAATGGTAGGATGGATGCCGTCATGTGCCCATGGATGTAGTAAACAAAAGAGCATCTATGTCTCCACCGGCTAACAAGAAGGAAGCACAAGCTTTCCTAGGCCTTGTGGGTTTCTGGAGGATGCACATTCCAGGTTATAGTCAGCTTGTGAGCCCCCTCTATCAAGTGACCTGGAAGAAGAACCATTTTGAGTGGTCCTTGAGCAACAACAGGCCTTTGAGCAGACCAAACAGGAGATAGCCTGTGCGGTAGCTCTGGGGCCTGTTGGAACAGGGTCAACTGTGCGAAATATCCTCTACACGGCAGCTGGGGAGCATGGTCTCACCTGGAGAACACCAGGAGAAACCCGAGGTCAACCATTAGGGTTTTGGAGACAGGGTTATGAAAGATCAGAAGTCTACTACATGCCAACTGAAAAGGAGATATTAGCAGCCTATGAGGGGGTTCGAACAGAAGCATGTCTCCTCTTGGCACCACGTTTGCCTGTGCTGCACTGGATGTTCAAAGGGAACATCCCCTCAACACATCATGTAACCAGTGCTATATGGAGCAAGTGGGTAGCTTTGATCACACAACGAGCCCAAATGGAAAAACCCAATTTCCCGGGAATCCTGGAAGAGATTATGGACTGGCCAGAAGGCAGGGATTTTGGAGCATTGCCTGAAGAGGTGGTTTGTGCCCAAGAAGCACCACCATATAACGAGTTACCAGAAAACGAAAGAGGTTACACTCTATTTACTGATGGATCTTGCCATGTGGTAGGAAACCATTGGAGGTGGGAAGCTGCTGTGTGGAGTCCCACACGAAGTTGCTGAAGGAGAGGGCGAGTCAAGCCAGTTTGCAGAAGTGAAAGTCATCCAACTAGCCCTAGAGATTGCCGAATGAGACAAGTGGCCTGTGCTATACTTCTATACTGACTCCTGGATGGTGGCTAATGCCCTATGGGGGTGGCTACAGCAATGGAAGAAGGTTAATTGGAAACGCAGGGGTAAACCCATCTGGGCTGCTGCATTGTGGCAGGACATCGCTGCATGGGTGGAAAACATGACTGAAGGTGCGTCATGTCGATGTTCACATGCCCAAAAGTCGTGCCACTGAAGAACATCAGAACAATGAGCAGGTGGATAAGGCTGCCAAGATTGGAATAGTCCAGGTAGACTTGGACTCAGAGTGGAAGAGTGAGCTATTTATAGCCCGATGGGCCCATGAAACATCAGGACATCTAGGAAGAGATGTGACATACAGATGGGCTTCTGATCGAGGGGTGGACCTGACCATGGAGGTCATCACACAGGTTATTCACGAATGTGAAACGTGTGCGGCAATTAAGCAAGCCATGCGAGTAAAATCTCCCTGGAACAGAGGGCGGTGGCTGGATTTCCAATATGGTGAGGCCTGGTAAATTGACTACATTGGACTACTGCCACAAACATGCCAGGGCAAGAGCTACATACTCACTATGGTGGAGGCAACAACTGGCTGACTGGAAACATATCCTGTAAACCAGGCCACTGGTCGAAACACCATCTTAGACCTTGAGAGGCACATTCTGTGGCGACATGGGACCCCAGAAAGAATTGAATCAGATAATGGGACTCACTTTCAGAATAATCTCATAAGTTCTTGGGCAAAGAAACATGGCATCGAGTGAATCTGTCATATCCCTTATCACCCACAAGCCTCTGGGAAGATTGAGAGGTATAATGGACTGTTGAAAACTATGTTAAGAGCATTGGGTAATGGGACATGGAAGCATTGGGAGGCAAATTTAGCTGAAGTCACTTGGCTGGTCAACACTAGCAGATCTGCCAACCGCCCTGGTCCTCCTGTGGGAGGGGATAAAGTCCTACACATGGGGAAGGGGCTGGGGAAGTCAGTGTGGGTTTCTCCTCCCATGAGAAAAGGCAAACACATCCATGGGATTGTCTTTGCTCAGGGATCAGGGTGTACCTGGTGGGTAACGAGGGAATATGGGGATACCCGGTGTGTGCCTCAAGGAGATTTAACCTTGGGGGAAAGATGATCTGTGTTCTGAGTTGTATGTTGCAGGAACTAAAGTCGCAGGATAATGAAGAGCGAATTCTGCGAGAAGCAAGGAGACTGTGACAATGACCCGAGTCGGGCTGGTGTTGGTGCCCAACGATCAGTTGCTTCTCCTGCCCTGAGTACCCATCCCAATGGAATGGAGCCCAAGATCTTAAGGGGTGGAAGAAGGCCACTAAACAAGATCTATGCAAGCACGGGAGATAGTCAGATATGGGATCTGAGTATGATGTAAATGGTATGGAATAAGGGGTGGAGATTGTATTGGGTCTGGATGAGCTGAAGTTCTTTTCCCCACAGTAGCCCTCACAATGCTGTGCTTTGCATTGGGAGCTAGAAGGGTGTTGATAACACACCAGTGTTTTGGCTACTGCTGAGCACAGCATCAGCACTGTAACATTCCTTCCTCAGTTGAGGGCAAGATCCTGGGAGGGGACCCAAGTAGGCCAGTTGACCCAAACTAACCAAAGGGATATTCCATACCATATGACATCAGCTCAGATACAAAAGCTGAGACAAGGAGCAGGAAGGCAGGCATTCATTGTCTCCAATGGTTGCCTGCTGAGAAACCGTCACACGTACCAAAGCCCTGCTTCTTGGGAGTGGCCGACCATCGCTGCTCATGGGAAGTAGAGAATAAACCGTGCTATCTTTCGCTTCGCTTTTTGCACACGCAAGCTTCCGCTTTACTTTTTGCTTTAGATAAACTGCTTTATCCCAACCCATGAGTTGTTTTTTCCACCTTACTCTCTCCCCTGTCTGGTTAGGAAGGGGAGTGATAGAGTGGCTGGGTGGGCACCTGGCATCCAACCAAGGTCAACCCACCACAGGGTGCATAGGAGGTTGGGAGTGAGCACAGCCAGGACAGGTGACCCTAACTGACCAAAGGGTATTCCAGACAATATGACATCATGCTCATTATATAAAGTGGGGGGAAGCAGCTAAGCAGCAGATGATCCCAAGACTGCTGGTTAGATGCCTCTTTCCTCATTTCCTTGCCACTAGCATCATACACACACACAGCCACACCAATAGGAGAACACACACATGTGCTAAAGCTGTTGTTTAACACAAAAACACACATTCCAATAGAAGGATTTGTAACATAGAATGTTGTTTTATAGTTGTATATAAACACTATTTGTGCATTTATAAATTATTATATTGTAGTTAGTACAGACATGGATTGCTTTTACAGATGACACAACCAAAGTAATTTCTCCTTAAAGAGAACAATGCTTCTTGATTACCAAGCTTTTCCCCCTTTTTCAAACTGCTGCTTGTGTTCTTTCTAGATGACTTGTGAATACATACCGCATGGCTCTCAGTGCAGTTTTGTATGCCAATTCAGCATCATGAGGTAGGAGAGAGGTGAAAAGATACTTGGCAAATGTGTGCATTGGAACACTCTCTCGATGGATGATTTCACCTAAACCACTATATGGTCCAGCTGTGGGAAAAAGAAAGAGAATATCAGTCTTCACAGACTGTTAAAACCCAACTTCTGGACCTTTAAAAGCATTCACTATACCTTGAGTTAGAATTGGTATTCAGAGACAGATTGCTGTAGAAAAGGTAAAGTTTCATTGATATTTTTTTGAAATATGTTACAAGTATATTAAATACCATCTATTCTTTGAGACAAGACACATTGTAAATTGTAGACTACTAAGCACACTACCAGTGCATATACAAATGACAGAATGGTTCCAGGGCTCCATGGGGGTCATTCAGAAAATCTATGGTATGCAAAAGTAGAAAGCGATAATCCTAGCTTTGCCTCTGTGTCGTTATATTGTGCACATGAATTCCTATGCACCCTCTGTTGGTGCATAATTGCTTTATCACAAATCCACAAAAAAAAGTGTCTACAGTGGAAAACCAGGTATCTTTAATTGAAGTTACATGACTAATCACTACAGCAGCACCTGATCCCTATTAATGTCTCACCTGACATTAGGCATTTAAATAACCCTTTGGTTTGGACTTGGTCTCCAGAGAAGACTAGGTCAGATCTTGCATTGAAGCTGCTTTTGTTAGTCTATTATAGCCACACAATCTTAAAAATTCTATTTGTTGTGGAGAAGCTATTCCCATTGTTGGGGCAATAGATTTTGCTACCACTCAGTGCAGTGCTTCATAACAGCAGTGTTAAGACTGACAACAGAAATGACAATTAAAAAAAAATTACATGAAACTATTTGCTTGCTGAGTTCTGAATATTCACGGTGCATAAGAATTCCATTTTTACATTTTTCCTGCAACCTTTAGACTGTTATTCCTATTAATAGGAAAATAGTGTCAAGAGTTTTTTACTTCAGTGGCTAGAGGTACAGGTGTTAAACATTGCAAGATACAGAATAAGAATTTTACATTAAGTATTATTGGACAATTATTGCACAAATAGCAGTCAGCAGTCCTAGAAGTTACTACTTCCTCTTCTACTTGAGATTCCAACCCACCACACTTGGATAGATGAATGACTGTGTGAGCACACTTCATTGCAGTCACATGTGTCATAGCTTCCAGCAGTGGTTCTGTGGTGGTTTGGGCTAGGCCTTCCTTGGTGACCAGTTTGTAACCAAGGAAGGGTCCAGATTTACCCAGTATTACCTACGATTTTTACGTAAGCCAGATTATAAGAAGAAAGGAGGAGAGGCCTTCACCCTCTTTCCTTCCGGCGGCTTGGAGGTGCAGGTTCCCTGCTGTTGAGTCTGCCGTGTTGGGGAGCGAGGCCTGGTAAGGCCTTGTCGACCTTGGGAGGCGGAGGTTGCCGGTGATCGTCCTGGAGCAACTCTCGGTTGTCCCAAGGAGAGTGGTGGGATATTTTCTTTGCTAACCCTTTAGTTACTAGATCTCGGGCTACTGATTGGGAAATATATATATATATATATATATTTTATTTTGGTTTTGTTCCCTTTCCCTTTCCCCTTCCCCTTCCCTTGTGAAATTGTATATATTTTAAATTGTATATATTTCAATTGTAACATAAGTGTAAATATATTTATATATATCACTTTAGCTGTCTCTCTCGTTTCGGGTTTTCTTAGCTGGTTGTTTTTCTCCCTCTTCTCCCTGAGGTTTGGGGGGGGGGGGGGTGACGACTTCTGGTGGTAAGGTTTGGAGACTTGGCAGGGAGCCAGCTTCAAACCATATCAGGTTCAAACTAAGATGACTGACCCTTCACTGAAGCAGATGAGGAGTACTCACAAAATTTATTCAACCACTTCTGCTGCATGGGATGATGAACTCCATGAGAGAGAGATGGTAACAACTTGGACCAGCACAGCTGTTTCAGCAATGTTTTTAACTGGTGCCTTAGCACAAAATGCAAAGATAAAATCACTAGGCATGTAAAAAAAAAAAAATCTGAGCTCCATAGGTGGGTATTTCTGAAGGCTGGGGTTAATCACAATGGAAACATCAATGAAGATTAAGTAGGTGACAGTGCGTCTCAATCATTTAAAGTAAAGTTGAAAAGTTCAAAAACTAGCTGGCATTGCTTCAATGAAAGAAGCCATTTCATGAATGTTTGCCAGTTGGTGGTCCATTCAGAACTCAGTTAGGGCACAAAGAATACATGACAAAGTATTTATATGAAAATATAGTCTGCCATTAACTCAAGCAAAAAAATAGAACAGTTCTTGCAACGCAGTCTTATGTTCTCCTTTCCCATTCATTCAAATGGTAGCTACATAGAGCATGCATTAACATTATCTGCATTAACAGCATAGAAATCAGCTTAATACTGGATTAAGTTTTCTTTATTATATCTACAGAACTTCAACTATCAAACCACAATTGATATGATTAGAATCTTAAATCACTGCACAGTTTTTCCTCCATGTGATCTGTCAGTTTCTGCCTTGCCTGGAGTAAACTGAAGCTATTGCAGAAAAGCCCAATTTCTCAGCACACAGTAATGCAAGACCATTGTTGCACACTGCTCACCACAGCAATTTTGTCAGTAGCTATTTTAGCAGGTTTCCTGCTATGATCACTTGTTTAATACTCTAAGAAAACAAAGAGAATATCAGTGATCAAAGGAGTAAACTAGAAGTATCAGAGAATACTTGAGAGAAATCCTGCCTTTTCCTCATACAGCATCCTGACCGGTAAATAGATGTATCAAATTGATTTTATAATCCATAGGATCCCTCTATGGTGGCAAATAGCTGGATCCAGCAAGAAGATGTTCTTGTCCAAAGGCCATAAAGCAGCAGTTACAGCCATACCATAATGGAAAGTCTCTTTATGGTGCAGCTCCTCTACAGTTTCAAATGGCATCACCAGTAGGTACCAAAGTCTTTAAGGATCTGGGCAATAATAGTGACTCAAAGCTGAGAATCCTAAAAAACATACTGCATCTCTTCCATTAAAGAAATAGTTTTAAAAAACAAATGTCTTACAGAAAGAAAGCAAAACCTGACTGCTATGTAACAATCTTCACAACTTACCCAGAGCAGTATCAAACTCCCCACCATCCCTTGAGCTAGCACTCAAAACTTGGACCGTGCCTTTAAATAACTGGTTCCTTTAAAGTTTTTTCCTTGATTTAAAAAAAACCACAAAAACTAGAATGACAACCTTAGAACGCACAAGACTACTCTCTGAACGTGAGGCTTAAGTGCTGTATGTCAAGCCTTTTAAAAGATAAGGCAAATGCATGCACTTTTTTGTACAGATTTTATTGCAATGCAAGTTATTTGTCTTAATCAAAATTTAGTCACAAGACCAGGCCTTAAGCCTCAATATTTGCCCATATATTTCAATTTTCAGGTATGATACAAACTTCTGAGGCAACTCATTTTCCTAATTGCTACAAAGAAAATGTTATTTTTCTCTCCCAGCAAATTTGAGTTTTCTGAGCTCTTCACTTGGGAACAGAGGTAAAAATCTTCATACATTTACAAAGCTGCCAGTCCTTTTTCAGGATTCAAATGACATTTAGAAATTTACTACCCAAGAACTGTTGATAACTGACGTCTATATTATTTGTGAGCCTGGGTTGTTTAGGATACTAAACAAACCTAAATAACAAAATGCAATAAAACTTAAAACTAAAGGCTTGTAGGTCAGTAGATGCTTTATCTCTACAGTCATGTCATATCTGAAGTATGTTTGATTTTCATAAGAGATTTGAAATAAAATTTTGCTGTAGTTCTACATCAAAAAACATCTTAAGTATGTAAGGCAGTTTCCACCGGAATACTAATTCATTGGGCTTGTGTAAGTGAAGACAGTTTTAAAAAGCAGTTAGCATCTACATTGAGCTACCTTCTAATAGGAAGACTGCTTGTTTTCGAAAAATCTTCACCAGAGTATCATCCAATTCAATTTCCTGTAGCTTAGAAATGAGCTGCTCCTCATTTCGACAAACCTTCTCTTGTGCATACAAGCCATCTGGCATTATTCGTTGCTGTCCCAGCCCTATCAATGCTACTTCCACAGCCAGCGTTAAATAAGATTCCCCTTCTTCTAAAAACTTGTGTGCAGGCAGATGCTGGTACTCCAGAGATTTGCATTGCCCCATGTTCTCTGTAAAGGGCGACACAAAGAACAACACATCAGGAAATCATTAAAATCCATAATCTGCCTATAATGCCACATTTACAAATGCTTCCTCTGTCAGTATTAATTTTTTAAAATTATTTAAATTACTAGTGCAATCTCAATATCCAGTCATCCAATCTAAACTACCCAATCCAATTCCACATCGCAGACATACACAAAACAATTAGGTTTTAAAAAGCCCACTTGAGTAAAAATGAAAGTTTTCATTTTAAAATGCATGATTTGGAGAAAGGCAGTTTCTCCAGCTTTGTGTTAATAAGGCCAAAATTGGAAGATCTATTTCAATTTTTTTCCCCACCCATTTCTGCATTTCCTTAAAGCTTTGATGTTGTATAAATGGAAAGGGAAGGTGCTTATACACCTGCATAGATTTCAGTTGAAGCTATTAGGATTATGCAAATACAGTAGGCCTGGGAACTCCACAACTTTAAAGCATTCTGTTTGCTAGAGCTCTCTTCATGCTTTTTTATTTGTTACAGTTGTATTTATGATAAACATACATAATGTTTCTGACTTTTATTAACACTAGAAATGCTACTTTTAGTAAAGATTACTTGTAAATTCCACACAGACCAAGCCATATTTTGCTTTAAAGAGTACTACTGATTCATTTGGCACTTCGCCAATATACCATATGACAAAATGCTATATCAACCTCTAGCAGCTTACAGTCTAGTTTGGGAACAAAAAGTTGCAATGTACAGATGTAAGGAGATGGACAGTTGCAGCAAATGAGATGGCAAAATGCATTTGGTAGATTGCATATGTGTGTGTAGGGGGAATTTGCTTTTTAACACACACTACTTTTATTTCATGGGGTTGTTTTGGTTTTTTTTCTAATTGCAAATAATTCTTCCAGAATTGGTGGATATGGGATTAGAAGTTTATTGAAGAAAATCTAATTGAATAAAATGAGTTTTGAGGAAAAGCCCCAAGAAGATTGGGATGTGCATATAAAGGATCTATAGGTAGAGGAATGAATCAAGTTTCTGACCACACAGAAGGTGATAAGAAACTACCACAGAGGTGGAAAGAGACTAAGGAATAAATCGGTTAAGCTCCTGGGAAGCAAATACTGAAATTAAAATGGGCGTATACATCCTGTCCTAAATCAATACCACAACACTATTTTCCTTTATAGACCATGTACTTTATAGAATACGTATGTTATAAATTTTAAGTGTTTTGTCATCAATTTGAAGTATTATGAACAATTGTAGCTAAGAAGTCAAATAACATCCTGGACTGCATAGGAGGAGCATCGCAAACAGATTGAGGGAGGTGATCCTTCCCCTCTGGTCAGCACTGGTGAGCCCACACCTGGAGTGCCATGTTCAGTACTGGGCTCCCCATGGACCTACTGGAGCAGATTCAGTGAGGGGCCACAAAGATGATTAAAGGACTGGAGCATCTCCCATATAAGCGACTGAGATGGCTGGGATTGTTTAGCCTGGAAAAGAAAAGGCTCAGTAGGATCTTACCAAAATATATAAATATCTGCTGGGAGAATGTAAAGAAAACAGAGCCAGACTCTTCTCAGTGGTATCCTGTGACAGGACAAGAGGCAATGGGAACAAATTTCTGAGCATAAGAAACCACTTTTTTACTGTGAGGATGGTCAAACACAATAAGAGGTTGCCCAGAGAGGTTGTATGGTGTTCATTCTTGGGGCTATTCAAAACTCAACCAGACACAGTCCTGGGCAACCTACTCTAGGTGACCCTGCTCTGACCAGAGAAGGTGGACTAGACTATCTCCAGAGGAGCCTTCCAACCTCAACAATTCTGTGATTTCCTGTAATTTCTCAAAAGAGGACAGAGCAATGTATGTAAAGAGGGTTGCTGCTATAAAGTCTTATTCCATTTTATTTCAAGCGTAAAATATTGAATTGCCTTCAAGAATGAGTAACTGGTAATTTTTGAAGGCTTTCATATAATTTATAACAAAAATTTACTTTAAACATTCTCTCTCCCTTGTGTTTTCTTAGGGAATGCAAATGTGAGTTCTTATACTATAAAGATGCTGACTTCCAAGTTAATTGGGAAAGGTAAGATAGAAAAATGCCTCTGGTTACTGAAGACTTAGAGAAGATTGCTCCCTTTGCATGGCCTTACCCGTGAAGTCTGAGAATCCATGGAAGCTCTCATCATCTACCCTGCAGGCTTCAATCAGGCTACTGAAGAGGGTGCCAATCGGATCCAAAGGATGTCCCACCCAACCTTCAAGATTTGTTATTGAGGTTACTCCTTTGTGGAGAAGTTCTGTGACAGAAAAGATGGAGGGAGGAGGGAGGGAAAGAGAGTGCATATTATCCCCTCAAAACAATTATAAAAATAAAACTGATTAAAATGCTCTCAGCACAGAATTCAAAGTATTTCCAGTAGTTTCTGCTTAGAAGGAGAAAATAGTATCTCTCAGTGTGAATTTATCTCCCTTTGTAAATATGTTAAAAGAGGAAAAAAAGAAAATGGATGAAGGTCAAACATTTTGAGCACTAGCAAAGTACGTTATGGGTCAAAATTTCAACAGCAGTATATTTTGAAATCTCTTACTTGATACCAGTAACTTCTGAAAATGTCTGCCAAAAAATTATAGCAAAGACTTTTTTTTTTGGTAAAATAATCACAACTGTTTCCTCACTCAAAAGATGCAGTACCATTTTCATGTTTTAAGTGAAGCCGATGGCACTGAAATAAATTATTCTGAAATGTTCCATTTTAATAAATAAAATATGAACTTATTGCATCTAAATATTTATTGAAGTAATAAACTCACGATGACAGTTCCTAATAAAAAAATATATGAAAAAAGGGTATAATGTTTAAAGGGGTTATAAAAGAAAAAAATTGTCCTTTAAGTGCATTTTTTGTCATTCTAAAGTTTCAGTCAATAAATACCTTCATGGATACTTTGTTCTGTAGCCCTCATCCATCAGTTACAACACAAAAAAATTGTTTAGCACAATAAATTGAAGGAAGTGTGGTTGTGGTAAAAGAAGTTAGAGATTACTCAAATCCCTTTTTTAACTAAGAGTCTTATGGCAGTAGTTCCCCTTCAACTCCCAAGCTTTTTCTCCATACACGACTGAACCATGAGAGATCAGGTGCATTATCACAGAATCACGGAATATGCTGAGCTGGAAGGGACCCACAAGGATCATCAAGTCCAACACTTAGCCCTGCACAGGACCATCCTCAAGAGTCATGCCTGATAGTATCGTCCAAATGCTCCTTGAACTCTGTCAGGCTTGGTGCTGTGACCACTTCCCTGGGAGGCCTGTTCCAGTGCCCAACCACCCTCTGGGTGAAGAACCTCTTTAAAATATCCAATCTAAACCTCCCCTAACACAACTTCAGGCCATTCCCATGGGTCCAGTCACTGGTCACTAGAGAGAAGAGATCAGCGCCTGCCCTTCCTCTTCCCCTCATGAGGAAGTTGTAGACTGCGATGAAGTCTCTCATCAGTGTCCTCTTCTCCAGGCTGAACAGACCAAGTGACCTCAGCCGCTCCTCATACAGCTTCCCCTCAAGGCCCTTCACCATCTTCGTTGCCCTCCTTTGGATGTTCTCTAATAACTTAATGTCTTTCTTATATTGTGGTGCCCCAAACTGCACACAATATTCAAGGTGAGGCTGCACCAGTGCAGAGCAGAGTAGGACAATCACCTCCCTTGACTGTCTGGCGATGCCTTGCCTGATGCACCCCAGGACACGGTTGGCCCTCCTGGCTGCCAGGGCACTGCTGACTTTTATTCAACTTGACGTCGACCAGGACCCTCAGGTCCCTTTCCGTGACACTGCTTTCTAGCATCTCATTCCCCAGTCTGTACGTACATCCAGGGTTGCCCCACCCAAGGTGCAGAATCCAGTACTTTCCCTTCTTGAACTTCATGTGGTTGATGATTGCTCAGTCCGCTAATTTGTTGAGGCCTCTCTGCAGGGCCTCCCTGACTTCAAGGGAGTCAACAGTTCCTCCCAGTTTTGTATTATCTGCAAACTTGCTTACTATCCCTTCCAGTCCTGCCTCCAAGTCATTTATGAAGATGTTGAAGAGAACAGGCCCAAGATGGAGCCCTGCGGAACCCCACTAGTCACAGGTCACCAGTCTGATGTTACCCCATTTACTATTACCCTCTGTGTTCAAACTGTGAGCCAGTTGCTCACCCACTGCATGATGTGTTTATCCAGCTGTGTGCTGGATATTTTGTCCAGAAGGATCCTGTGAGAGACAGTATCAAAAGCTTTACTGAAATCCAAAAAGATGACATCAACTGGCTTCCCTTGATCAACTAGATGGGTCACCTTGTCATAAAAGGAAATCAGGTTTGATAAGCAGGACTTTCCTCTCATGAAGCTGTTCTGGTTGTGACTGATGACTGTGTTGTCTTTCAGGTGTTTTTCAATACCTCCCAGAATAATCTTCTCCATAATTTCACTAGGTCCTGAAGTGAGACTGACAGACCTGTAGTTTTCAGGGTCCTCCTTTTTGCCCTTCTTGAAAATCAGGACAAAGTTTGCCAGCCTCCAGTCAGCTGGGACCTCTCCATATTCCCAAGTGACCATTTAAAAATTGTATACAAGCCATTACAGATGCTCTGTTTCTCTGCTTATTACACACTAACTTGTACCTGCCTTTTTGCTCTCTCATTCACAAAGTGTCATCTTTCTGAGTAATCATAAGTATTACCACAAAGCTTTAAAAGCTTGCTTCTTGCCTATTTAAATGTGTGGAGCTACAAAGTGAAACACAACCACACTGTTGAACTCGGTGTTCAGGACAGTGGTTTTTTTTAAATAAAAAATAAACTGATATGTAATATGAAAAACAATGTAGTAAGTAATTGTCTTATTAACAAATAACATGTGCTAAAAACTACATATTACCAAAAGGATTAATATCAATGACTTTTTACTGACTCATTTATATTCCGTTTCATCTATTATGTCTATTTATGAGCTTCACTTGTGTCATGCCAAACAAAGGCTTCAGTCCTCCATTCATATAGAGATTTAACTTTAAATCACGTAACTAGTTCCAGAAATGTCAGATCAATCACATTAATGACAGCTAAGTAGAAGCATGTGATGATTGCTGAACTGAAACTGTAGCTGCAGAATTAATCTTCTTATGGAGAAGACCAGCATATTTTGCACTATTAAAAGAAGATTTTTAAAATTCCAAACATAAGAGTGAAAAAAAACCCCAAAGCAGTGAGTAGCAACATAGAAATTACAAACTTCATGTTAAGGAAAGATATATATCCCAATAAAAAGACTCAGAAAAATTCTCCCAAGTAATAATGCAAAGTGCATTTAAGTTTTGTTTAAATCTAGGATCCACAATAGTGCTCAAAATTTCTTTCTTGGGTATTGTGAAATGGAGACACATAGGAACTGCCAACTAATTATTTTTTTTCAGTCAGGTGTCTACCTTGTCTTCACTTCAATCTCTAAATTATCATTTCTGGGAAAACACCTGCACATACACTTAAAAAATTTACACATGTGACTCATCATGGATATAACCTTCGAGCCTGTGCCATGGATTTTTTAGGTGAGACGCAGCATGCGCAGAACTGGACTCACCCTTTAATCCTAAGGTTCATCTGCCAGGGCCTAGTGATCTTGGCACACGTGACTACACACTGATATTTTTGCTTACAATGCATGAGGATACACATAGTTAAGAGTAGCAACAAAGATCTCAAAAAAAATTTGAATGAAAGGTGTTCTTGTAGTAGCTGAGAATGTAATTCCAATTTTTCCACATGCATTCTTTAACTACAAAGTCATCCACTACCTCTTCAAACCTATGACAAAGTTCAGTGAAGGATTATTTTTTCTAGAATCTTCCTTCAAAAAACAGGGGTAGCATTTAGAGGAACACCACAGAAGATTTTATAAAGCCAGTGTTTTAAAAATCTTATTTCCAGTGATGTGAATCCACTAAAGTTTTAAGCATCATAAGAGACTTCTGGAAGAAACTGCCAAATTTGAAGAATTTCTGTAGTGCAGACTTTGCCTAGTCAACTTTAGGCTTCCACCTCAGAAATAGTTCTGCTAAATTATACATCAGAGGAATAAAATTATTTTAAATACCTGACACTCCAAATGCAAATCTCTGTTTAAAAGCCTATAAATGACACAGGATGAATATTTACACTGTGTAACCAAAAATCCTGATTGGAATAAAAGCCCCATCATGTTAGATGTATTGCAGAAGGCAGAACAGAGCCCTTGCCCTGCAGAGCTCACAACCCAGTAAAAAAACCCTCCAACATCCAGAATGTGACATTACCACTATGATCATTTGGACTGAAGAGTTAAAGTCACCTCTTTTGCTTTAGTTTCAAAAGCATTTTTTTCACGCAAAGTTCCAGTCCGGTGTTATTGTCACCTTGTCATGTCCTTTGCCCTTCTCTCTTCCCCGCATTTACCTTTCTTCTGAGCCTGGAACATTTCCAGCTGTTTCTGTTGCTGCCTTCTTAGTGTATTAACAATAGCTATTGCTAGCCTCAGTGCTTCTCGTGGGTATCCATGAGATCGTAATGCATCCACCCTTGCACAGGCTGTAGGAACATGTTCTAAAATGGAGAAAATAATTGAGGAATAGCAATGCTTCCACGTCTGCAATGGTCTATTTTGCTAGGTTACTCAAAAGGAATTTTTAGTTTCCCTTGATTTGTTTTTAAAACTATGCAAGAGAAATTTAAAGGACTATTTCTGAGCCAACATTCAAGGGACCCTCTATTCTTTTTTCCAGGTTTTTCATTCAGTTCCCCCCCCCCGCCAAAAGAATGCCATAGAAACTGAACAAAGCAGCAAGTCATGGAAACATCTTTCTGTCTTTCCAGTTTAGCCACTTACCATGCCAGAGGGGCCACCCCTGAGAGTCATAGAGTGAGTTTTCTGTGTTGTCATGGTAACAGTAGTTGGTGTATAGGTCACTGCTGATAATGTGCTGTAAGTGGCTGTCCTGCCAATGCAGATCGCATGCCTCTATGGCTCGAGTGAACACCGTCCGATGTGGCCTGTTTGATGAATCTGTCATTTTCACAAGTTCAGAAAGCTGCATCAGCTTTTACTCATTCATATGTGAATCAGTCATTCACAGTATTCTTGCCTTCTGCCTATTCACCAACCCCTAACTGACAACAGTCTACCTTGACCCACTCTGCAAGAAGCAGCCCACAGATGACATTTCACATCGTTACCCAACAGCTCAGGCAAAGTGTGTGCCATTCACTTCGCATTCAGAGAGATCTACAAACTATCATGTCTAATGCTAAATAGGACATTGCAAAGGGAACAGTTAAAGATGAAGGACATTTAACAGTACGTGCAGAACTCCCCTAAAAACAGACTAGAAAGTATATGGCACACAGCTACTCAAGCATCCCCAGCTTCTCTCCTTCTCAGAGCTACTAGGATGAGTGACAGATAAACATCACATGAAATATTTTTAGTTGTTCTCTTTGAGAAGTGACATTAACTTTGAGCACTTGGATATTTTTTTGTCATAAACATATACAAATACTGCAAAGAAAGCAAGGTACTAAGACCATAGTACTGACAATCCTTTACTGGCCATCTTCCTATGGCAAAAGTGCTCTGTCTACATGGCACTGTGTCTATGAATGTTGAAATGTCATGTCAGAGTTGCCACTAGCCTGTCCAGGTTGGGCTGAACATCACGAGATCCAGAAAGCCAAACACCTCTGTAGGAAGTTATATACTGAATGAACTTCTGTCCCCGGTTAGCTGCAAGATTTAAAAATGAACTGTCTATTTCCTTCAGAGGTAAACTTCCAAGAAAAAGAAACAAGGAAAAACCCATCTAAGTCCAACTCTACCACCTTTCACAAGCATTTAATTTTAACTTTTATGAAATATGTATCAAAATATTGAGGGGTTTGATGATTATGAGGGTTTTTTTCCCCAGTTCTTCCTCAGTTATTAGCAAAGTAGCAATCTTTGCTTGAAGATGACTGGAGAAGGCTTCTGTCAGGTTTGATAATCACATTTTCGATTAGAAAGTGTATATCGAGTAAGAGACATCTCCTCCAAGAAGGCAGTGTTACCTCTGCACCCCCACATGCCTGTCAGTTCAGACCACACAACACAGAGCACATCCCACAGATAACTGTTTTAGTTTCTCACACAGTTTAATGCAGTCACAACTGATCTCCCTTTAAGTAAGTACCAAAGGCTTTGTAACTGCAAAAAATAAAAAAAAAAAACCAACACCAGAAGGTATATAAGATTATAGTCAAGCAAAGAAACAACAGGCTTTTACATGACATGCTTCAGGGACATCCAATTTTTATGCAACAAGTATTTAGAAGGACCAAGTGAAAAGTTAGAAAACCTAACTTGCTTCGAAAACATTGCAGCCCCAGCATAAAAGTAAACCTTATTTATCCTTTCTGCAAGGATAGTATTAGTGAGAATAAATTTGGCTGGCCAATCCTCAACAAGAAAGTTACTTGTCCCAGGAAAGACTGCCGTATTCTGCTGCAAGGCTCAAGTATATAAGATAGAGGCTATATTATATGTTTCAGTCAGTGCATATATTTAGGCTCACCTTGGTTAGCATTTGCACCCTGAGGCAAAGCATTGGTTAAATTGGGCAGCTCATTTCCATGGTTTCCATCTTCACAGGGACAAACATCCACACCATTCCATTTTTTCAGCTGTTTTAGCCAACTGACCTTCTGCTCCAACTTGCAGTGGGGATTTAAGACTATACACATCCACAGAGCACCTGATTTTAAAGAAAATTGCTGAATTAGGTTTTCTATTAAAAATGCAGCAGCCAATGACTAATTGCAAACTTCTATTCTTTAACACTTTTTCTCCCCTAAGGCTACATTGCTTGTTTCCCAGCTATACCTAACACCAGGTGTGGCCCATCCAAAGCAGTTTAAAGACTGTATCAAGCCAACCTTCTCAATTAAAAGGCATTAAATGGCTCTTTTGTATTAGGAAAGACATAGTTCACAATGTATAGCCCATCAGACAAAGGCAAACAAAAATTCACATAAAGTTACAGCAGGAAATTACCCAAGTTTTTCTTCTAATTTTTGTACAAAAACTATGTATCTTCCAGTTCACATTACAGGAACCAAATAAGTGCATTAGTAAGACATGCATTTTGTAAACATATACTTCCACACTCAAAATCCAGCAGAAGTGGAGATTCAGTAAACACTGGTTTTGTGCAGTTTAATAGGAATAAGATATTTTTGCTGCTCCTACTTCAGTAATTTGATTACACTAGAAAATTTGTCTTACATTTTTTGTTTATGGAGCTTGAAGTGAAAGCTAATTTGCACTGACATTTCTTATGTACCATCACTTTAGAAACTGCTCCCTGATACTATAGAGCAGGGCAGGCATAAATAACATCAGGGTCTTTAGCAACAATTTTCAAATGGAAAGATTTTTCTCTAAATCATCTGTCTCTTCATCAGGGTGAACTTTGACACAAGCATGAAGACATCTGAAAGTACTGTTCATTTGCTCATTAAGAACGTGCCTTGTACACTACAAGAGATTTCACAGAATCACAGAATATTCCGAGTTGGAAGGGACCCACTAGGATCATCAAAGTTCAACTCCTGGCCCTGCACAGGATGGCCCCAAGAATAAAATTAAAAGAATATGCTTAAACTATGCAATCTTTATGACAGGCTGAAAAAAAAAGAATAAAATGCAGCTGGTTCTTCCAAGAAAATAGAATTTTCATATTCAATCATTCTTTTGCGAACTAAGAATACAAAATGGATACCCAGAGCACAGGTCATCACATTACATTAATTCCTAAAGTAACTCAGTATGTTGGTATGCCACAGCACAGGAGCCAGTGGAAACAGACCTTCATTCCTTAAGGTTGCAAGTCCTATTCAGGATGACGTGGAATGAGGAAGTAATATCAAAGAAATCTAAAAACCACAACAAAATAAGATATGGTACAGTGCAGAACACCAGAGATCCACTACACTAATGCACAGTAGTTACATACAGTAGAACATGTTGTTTTGTTGTTCTTTTGTTTGAATTTTTTTTGGGGGGTGAGGGTTGTTTTTGTGGTTTTTTGGTTGGGTTTTGGGTTTTTTAAGTGCCATGGGAGTGAATAAAGCCAATATTGTTTTTATAAACTTCTTATAAAATCAAATCATATTGCTTCATTTTAGACACGCTGTTCAATGCACTTCACTCCCCAAACAGAGTCAAATTATAGAATAGAATCATAGACTAGTTTGGGTTGGAAGGGACCTTTAAAGATCACCTAGTCCAACCCTCCTGCAATGAGCAGGGACATCTTCAACTACATCAGGTTGCTCAGAGCCCTATCCAACCTGAGCTTGAATGTTTCCAAGGATGGGGCATCTACCACCTCTCTGGGCAACCTGCGCCAGTGTTTCATCACCCTCATTGTAAAAAACTTCTTCCTTATATCTACCCTCTTTCAGTTTAAAACCACTATCACTTGTCCTATTGTTACAGGCCCTACTAAAGTTTGTCTTTCTTATAAGCCCCCTTTAGGTACTGGAAGGCTGCTATAAGGTCTCCCTGGAGACTTCTCCATGCTGAACAGCCCCAACTCTCTCAGCCTGTCTTCATAGGAGAGGTATTCCAGCTCTCTAATCATCTTCATGACCCTCCTCTAGACCCGCTCTAACAGGTCTAGGTCCTCCCTATGCTGAGGACCCCAGAGCTGGACGCAGTACTCCAGGTGGGGTCTCACCAGAGTGGAGTAGAGGGGCAGAATCATCTCCCTTGACCTGCTGCCCACACTGCTTTTGATGCAGCCCAGGGTATGGTTGGTTTTCTAGACTACAAATGCACATTCCTGGCTCATGTCCACCAGCACCCCCAAGTCCTGCTCTCAATCCCTTTATCCCTCAGCTTATATTGATACCAGGAGTTGCCCAGACCCAGGTGCAGAACCTTGCACTTAGCCTTGTTGAACCTCATGAGGTTCACATGGGCACACTTCTTAAGCTTGTCCAGGTCCCTCTGGATGGCATTATGTAGTGGGTTTCTGTGGCTGGGTTTTGGTAGAGGGGAGGGGGGGCTACAGGGGTGGCTTCTGTTAGAAGCTGCTAGAAGCTTCCCCTGTCCCATGGAGCCAGTGCCAGCCAGCTCCAGGATGGACTTCCTGCCGCTGGCCAAGGCCAAGCCAATCAGGAGTAATAGTAACGCCTTTGTTATAACATATTTAAGAACAGAAGGTTGTTGTGCAGAAAGAATTCCATCCGGGGAAGAGCGGAGGGAAAACATGGGAACAGCAATGTAGACACCAAGGTCAGTGCAGAAGGAGGGGGAGGATGTGGTCCAGGCGCTGGATTTGAGGCCCCTGCAGCCCGTGGTGAAGTCCATGGTGGAGCAGGCTGTCCCCCTGCAGCCCATGGAGGACTATCGGGGTGCAGAGACCCATCTGCAGCCCATCGAGAAGCCCATGCTGGAGCAGGTGGATGCATGAAGGAGGCTGTGACCCCGTGGGAGGCCCAAGATAGAGCAGGGTCCTACTGGAGACCTGCAGCCTGTGGAGAGGGAAGCCCACACCAAAACAGGTTTTTCCCAGGTAGGACTTGTGGCCCCTGTGGGGACCCACGTCGGTACAGCTCATTCATGAAGGACTGCACCCCATGGAGGAGTGACCCAGGGGACAGCAGTTTGGGAAGAACTGCTGCCCAAGGGATGGACTCACGCTGCAGAGGTCCATCAAGGACTGTCTCCTGTGGCTGGGTCCCCACGGGAGCAGGGAAAGGACTCCTCTCTCTGAGCGGCGGCAGAAACAACAACTGACCATAATCCCCATTTCCCATCCCCCTGCACCACTGGCGGGGAGGAGGGAGAACATGGAAGGAAGGAGGGGTGGGGGAAGGTGTTTTTAAGACTCTTTTATTTCTCACTCTTTGGCTCTTATCCTGTTAGTAATAAATTTAAGTACTATCCCCACTTTGAGTCTGTTTTGCCCTCATGAGCTGGCCCTTAAATGTCACCACCAACCCGAAAGCTTACACTGGCCTTAAGCAAAGGATTCTCTATTTCCTACCTAATGGTTCCTGTATGGAGAAACTACTGATCACACTTACCCCATAATACAGATAAGGCTAATGGAAAAATGAACGGCAGCTATTTGTAATTAATTTGTGGGGAATGTATCTAAATCCATTTCTAGTGACTTCAACCTGGAAACTGCTGTTGGCAACAGCCTATACTCAAAAAAAGTTTCCCAAAATACATTCCCAGCATTCTCAAGTAAGTTTACATGTTTGACTAGACTTAATGATGTCACCAATGTCACCCACAATATGAACAAATGCCTCATTAAATGGAAAAACAAAAGAAAAAAACCCCAAAACAGAGAATGTGTTTACATATTCTGTTTTTCTAACACAGCTCACTTTTTCATCTCTCTTTCTCCAGGCACCAGATATCTTTTCATACCAGATCTCAAAAGGCTGACACATCCTCTTCCCTCCTCCCTCCCCCCGAACTAAACCAAAAGTAAGGTTCTGATTTGGATCCATTGACTGTGACCCATGTCTTTCCAATATGAAGCTCCTCACAGCACAATGGTAAAATATCACAAACCTATATACAAAATTTTGCCCCCAGAAGATAACTGGAAGACAAATCATGCTGTGACTGCAATTTGATATTAATTTCACAAGGGAATTAATATTAGAACTGTCATACTGCAGTGAAGAATTGCCTATTTTGGTTAAAAAAACACTAATCCTTTTGACCTGGAAAAAACCAGCTTTGCCAAAAAAGACCTTTGGTTCAAATAGCGCTCTTTGAAAATGCATGATTGTCATTCATCTTTAGTGGATCTCACACCACAAAGAAATAGGTTACATTACTGTTTTACACAATGAATGCATGCCTTGTACATACAGAGGGAACATCAGTACTTTTGTATTTCTCAGTAGGTGTCCATACCTCTGAATTCATGAGGGAGAAAGGAACAGCATGCCTTTACAGTGGTCAGGATTTAAACACGCAAATTGAAAAACATTAAGAAGAATTTAGTCACTGTAAAAGTTGGTGTAATACCACATCTTGTGTATGCATGTATTCAAAGAAAGTGCAAGGAATGTATACAGACTCTCCCAAGAGATTAAGCATTGCTCAGTTTTCATATTTTACTCTTGTCACAGTAAATGGGAGGGGGGTGGTAGAAACAGTTTTAGTGGGGATTAGGACACTGAGCATGACTGAAGATCCAGCGTACAACTCAGACTGATTGCAGTTTTCTCAAGAAATATGCTTTACCTAAATATATTATGCTATCTTGTCAGGACTGCTGTAACAGCCCTGGTTTGGGTCAGCATTTCCTCATTTACAATACCTTTGTAATCAGTGGCTGGCACTTGGCCTTTGCCTTAGAGTTTTGTTTAATATACTCAAGATCAATCCATTCATTTGCAAAATTAAAACATGCAAGAAACTGATGCATGTTTGACATATCTTTGCTCTTTCCATTAATCATAGAACCATAGAGTCATAGAATGGTTTGGGTAGGAATGCACATTAATGCATGTCTCTTAAAAAAACTAAAAAACCAAAAACTACAAGGTTAGTAAAATTTGATTATTTCAAAGAAAGTGGAGCCAGGTAAACAAGATCATTCTCTTTGTGCAACAGGCAAATTGGCTGCAGCACATGCTGCACACTTGCCACTGTGCCCCATTTGAGCCTAATCAAATCTATTCCAAAAGCATAATTTTCCAGCATTGGAAGTGCCAG